CCCTCGTCCTCAAATTTCCTTCCTCTCTCCCTCCCTCAAATTTCCTTCCTCTCTCCCTGCCTCAAATTTCCTTCCTCTCTCCCTGCCTCAAATTTCCTTCCTCTCCTCCCTCAAATTCCATTCCTCTCCCCCCTCAAATTTCATTCCTCCACCCCTCCCTCAAATTTCATTTCTTTCCCCCCCCATTTCCTTCCTTCCTCCCCCTCTCCTCAAATTTCATTCCTTCCCTTCCCCCTCCCATTTCATTCCTTCTCCTTCCCCTCCCATTTCCTTCCCCATTTCATTTCCTTCTCCTTCCATTTCGTTTCCTTCTCCTTCCCCCTCCCATTTCATTTCCTTCCCCATTTTATTCCTTCTCCTTCCCCTCCATTTCATTCCTTCCCCATTTCATTTCCTTCTCCTTCCCTCCATTTCGTTTCCTTCCCCATTTCATTTACTTCTCCTCCCCATTCGTTTCCTTCTCCTTCCCCTCCCATTTCATTTCCTTCTCCTCCCCATTTCATTCCTTCTCCTTCCCCCTCCATTTCATTTCCTTCTCCCTCCATTTCATTCCTTCTCCCCCTCCATTCCTTCTCCTTCCCCCCTCATTTCATTCCTAACCCCCACTCCCTCGAATTTCATTCCTCCTACCCCCCCCGACACTGGCGGCGGGCGGGCAGGCCGGCGCGCGAGGGAGCACTCTCTGTATGCTTCCTCTTCAGCTCCCTCGTGCGCCGCGTACTGATGCCGGAGCCGGAAGATGACGTCATCTTCCGGCTCTGGTATCAGTAGTTCCGCGAGGGAGCTGAAGAGGAAGCACACAGAGACTGCTCCCTCGCGCGCCGGCCTGCCGGGTGACAGCAGGGCCAGCCTCTGGGGGGCCCTGAGGTGACCAGCTGCTGGGCCCCCCAGGAGAAGAGGCTGGCCCTGTGGGTACACAGCGGGTCGCAGGACCCCCTGCGACCCGGTATGTACCCACTGAATGTGGGGCCCGGACGACCTGAGCAGTCCGGGCCCCCCAGGACCGCCGGGCCCATGACAACCGTTACGGTTGTCATGCCCTGATGGTGGCCCTGCACCCAAACGACTGGCTATCATGCCTTGCTTGCCCACAAATCTATGTTGGAAACAGTGCGGGGCAGTGGGAACATTTCTCCACTGCTGGTGGACATGTCCTAAACTTACACCAACCTGGCAATCTATTACATTCCTCCTGACAAGAATTTTAAACAAACCATGCCCAGTAGATCCTTGGGCACTACTACTATCCAAGCCATTTGACAATTTCACAAGAGCTGAAAATAAACTAATAGCACGAGTAGCCCTGGCCACACGTAGGGCAATTGATGAGGTATGGGCATCCACCAATATACCCCTACAAGAAAATACAAGAAAACCTGGACATGGACACACTTACGAAACACAAATACACGTAACCCCCCAAAGGTTCCACAAAGTGTGTTGGAGGGGACACATCGCTCCCTTGGTAGCTATACACAACTACAGCAACACAGACCACAATTAAACCCAGAATACTTATGGTCATGACTCTTCCCTCTCTTGCTGCCCCTCCCCCCAGGCCTTACTCCTCCTCTTCTCCTCCCAACCCCTCCCCCCCTTTTACAGGAGGGAGGGGGAAGCGGGGCCCAATGGCCGGGTGCACACACATGGCCTCCTACTCACTCCCTTTCAGACCCCCCTCCCTTCTACTAACACTCTCACTCCCTATGACCTGAAAACCACTATTCTCAATAATCTTCATATCAGGCCATAACCCAGAAAACCATGCCCCCCACAATGACAAATCCTATGTGACAGCACAGGGGACCACCAATCACAAAAAGGAGGCACCCTGACCTGGATGAGACAACCCATTTAAGATCAGACGGGACGTAACCCCCCAATATTGACACCCTAATGACAACATATACGAACATTCCTCATGGGACCAATTGCAAGGGCTGTGGAACATTGGAAACAAATAAGGGCATCTATGTTACAATTACAACCTTAAACATAGCTCACTGACACCCTACAGTAAAACAGGCGTGCTGCGCGCAACAGACCTGCAATGTAATCTTATGATCTGTTCTGTATTGTTTCTTACCTTTGCCTATATACCAATTTCTTGTTACCTATTGTACGTTCACCTATGTTACCTTTACATAAATGAAAATGAAAATAAAATAAAGAATAAAAAAAAAAAAAAAAGTGAAGCGATAAAAGTGAAATATCTCACCTGTTGTAGTGCTGAGGACAAAAACTGTAGTTTTAAATGATGTTCTAAAGCCTGACGCTTTTCCTAGTTTTTCAGAAAGCATTGAACAAAGAGAGAGTTAGAAGAACAGTTAGAAAGAGAAAAGGTTATCCCTAAATTATTATATCTTACCCATGCAAAAAGTCATCAAGATACTATTACAATAATAAATGTGTTATTAAGTACTGGATTATTACATAAACATAATAATGAACCTATAGGTGGTCAGCAAACAATGGGTCGCAAGAGTATTCTGAGAATGGACAGCAGCTAAAATAGCCTGCCCTTCGGTGGGTCCCCGCTCCGAACTCATGCTGGTTTTAGCTCAACTTGTGCCATTACAGAGAGAACATATCTGAAGCATATCAGACTGGTCCCACCCATACGGGCAGTCCAGACCCGAAATGCCAGCAAGTTCTCTCTGCACAAGAGATACAGCAACCCCAGACGATCGTTTCAGCCTTGTTAGGCATCGTCAGTGAGGCATAGCTGATATAGGTGGTCAGGGTCAGATTATCTATTAGACAAAGTAGACATCTGCCTGCAGCTGCATGTCCTATAGGGGCGCCTATTTACAGCACTTATATTGTGCCTATTTGGAGCTCTGGTGGGCTGGTAGGGAGAGATAAATACCAAGCACTTTTTCCAGTGTCCCCTGTATTTCAGTCAGCCTCCAATGCTTAATAACAGAGCTGCATGAACATAGAGGTTTTAAAACAAAATGCTGTCCCAGCTCACCTTCTCACACAAGAAATGCTTTGCAGAAGCGGAACAGCATTGAGTGATGCGCAAGCCCCTAAACTCATACACAAATTATATACAATATCAGTCAAACAGTATAATGACTTGACTTTGGGAGTAGTTTTGTTGGTGACAGATGATCCCCACAGGAGATTGCCCCCCACTCAATGCAATCATCAACTTAAATAATTATCACCAGACATTTATTCAGAAGTCATTATTTTGGAGTTATGGGAAGTTTGATGTATTTTAAAGTATGTTATGTGCCCTTTCACAAATCAGAGGTTGTATCACATTCCCAATAATTCACACTTTGGTGAATAAACATGTGGGAAACAGCAGGAGTCACCCTGCTGCTCCAAAATGGTAGGAAACTCAAGGGGGGCTACAATTTTGACCAGTATGTGTGTTTGTGTGTGTTTGTATGTATGGATATTGTGTTTGTATCTGTATATATATATATATGTCAGTGTGTGTATCTGTATGTCTGTGTATCTGCATGTGAGTCAGTGTCTGTATTTGCATGTATGTCAGTGTTTGTATCTGTGTGTCTGTATCTGTATGTCTGTACATCTGTATCTGTGTCAGTTTGTGTATCTGTGTGTCTGTTTCTGTATTTCTGTACATCTGTATCTGTATCAGTTTGTGTATCTGTGTGTCTGTATCTGTATGTGTGTCAGTGTTTATATCTGTGTATCTGCATGTGTGCCAGTGTGTGTATCAGTGTTTCTGTGCAACTGTACGTGTATTAGTGTGTGTATTTTTGTGTCTGTGCAACTGCATCTGTGTCACTGTTTGTATCTGTGTGTCTGTGTATCTGCACGTGTGTCAGTGTGTGTATCTGTGGATCTGTTATGTCTGTTTGTGCATGTGTGTCAGTGCATGTGTGTCTGTACATCTGTATATGTGTCACTATGTGTATCTGTATGTGTATCTGTATGTATCATAGCCGAAACCGGGTTGCTATGGCAACCCTTACACAACAATTTACGCCCCCTTGCGTTCCAGCCGACTTCCACACAGCCGCTGGAACGCATTCAGGCTACAGCAGCAACACAGACAGCTGCAAATCTATCTTAAACCGGGTCAAATTTACCGACAAATTTGGGCACTCAGCCATGGCAATCACAGGGGGCAAAGGGTAAGTAACCCATGTGTACATTGTATGAAATAATTATGTATTGTATTTAACACTTGTTTGTAAACCTGCACCCTTATTGTGACGAAAGTTCTGTACTGGAACTGAAACGTTGATCACTGTGGCATCTTGCTGAATAAAAGCTAAGTTTTTTTCACCCTATTATCTAGTCCCTGGAGTGCTATCTTCTTAAAGACTGTTTTATATATATATATATATATATATATATATATATATATACATATATATACACACACATATATATATACACACACATATTATATATATATACAACCATACATACATATATATATACACACACACACACACACATATATATATATATATATATATATACACACATATATATATATATATATATATATATATATATATATATACATACATACATACATACATACACAAAAAAAGCAAGTACTGTGCTCACTCCCATCACTTGGAGGGAATGCCCGCCTGCCAACGTCAAGGCAGACCCCCTCAGGTGGCAGACCTTTCACCTTGCTTCCTTGAACTTCTGGCAAAGATATCTCTAATGAGACAGAGAGGGGTATTTTTTATATACACCCCTATATACTAGTGATACTCTAAAAATTACAATATCGTGCAAAATTTCATTTATTTCTGTAATGCAACGTAAAAGGGGAAACTAATATATGAGATAGACGCATTACATGCAAAGCAAGATAGTTCAAGCTGTGATTTGTCATAAGTGTGATGATTATGGCTTACAGCTTATGAAAGACCCAAATCCACAATCTCAGTAAATTAGAATTGTTGTGGAAATAAGGTCTACACATATTTCCTAGTTAGTGAAAAATGTCTATTTACTCATTTCACGATATATATATATATCTAAGCACACATGTTATAATCAAGATGGCTGCTAGAAGCTTCTAGCTCCTTCCCCCTCCCCTCCCTTTCTTCTTCCTAACATTGACTAACTACCTCGTGCACCAAGATGGCGCCGGGAAACCGTGGGAGACCCTCATGGCCCCGGTGACATCACCTACAGTAGGCAGAGCATTGAAGCGAACACTTAACACCTAACCAATTATTGATGTATTATTCCATGTTATCTCTGACAATGCTTATGATGTAATTTTGCTTTAAAAGGGACCTGCCGTCCCCTCTGAATAAACATTCCTCAAGTTATTCAACAACCTGGAACCTGTGTCTGGTGTGAATTACTTCAGGGAGCGTGCACGCATTGTTTCATTGATTTGGCCAGGGGCAGATACACAAAGAAATAATCAATACTTTTAATTGATTTTTCCATTTCAATTGGCGCCCAACGTGGGGCCACCGGAGGGCCGGTTCGGAGGGCCGGAAACAACGGACCGGAGCGGACCTCTGGAAAGTGGGACAAGCGGAGCCTGATCACCTCCATAATACAGCCGTTGCCTGTGTTATTCTCCTGTTTTGTGTCGGTCTGCCTCCGAGTCCACTTCCGGCTTCCAGAAGGCTACTAGAGACAGGTAATTAACTCATCCGGTGTGCCTTTTTTTAGGTGAACCTGTCAATTGTCTATCTGCCTCCTGTATTCGTTTGTGTGCGTGTGTGTGCGTGTTTCTCATACTTCTTTTAAGTTAGCTTGACTGCCTAGCGGGCAGGGGACGCATTACAGCCGGTGGGGCTGGGATTTTACAGCCGGAGGGGCTGGGATTTTACAGCCGGTGGGGCTGGGACTTTACAGCCGGAGGGGCTGGGATTTTACAGCCGGTGGGGCTGGGATTTTACAGCCGGTGGGGCTGGGATTTTACAGTCGGAGGGGCTGGGATTTTACAGCCGGTGGGGCTGGGACTTTACAGCCGGAGGGGCTGGGATTTTACAGCTGGTAGGGCTGGGATTTTACAGCCGGTGGGGCTGGGATTTTGGTTGTTCATTACTGTGCTCCCATTAATACCTGGGAGTATACCGGGACCAGCCTGGTGGGTGGAGGCTGAGGATTGCTATACTTCGATTATTTGGCACCGGTGTCATTAACATGTACATGGCCATTTTACTCTCTGTCATTCTGTGGTTTTTGTTCAATTGTTGTTACAGCGTGGGTACCCTTGGTGTGTGTGTGTGTGTATTGTGTGGTTAGTTCTGGACTCCGGAGTCTATGCTCATTTATATGTTTGTGATTTTTGCAAATGTCTTCTCATTAGCGCAGCCACGTTCATCTTTTCTTTTGTGCTTTATCTCTCCTGTGCCTGTTGCCCAGAGCTGTGTTAGTCACCCACGCTCATTCACTCCCGTCCGTGACCACCACCCCGGGTGGGCGGATCTCCGTGACTAGTCTACGTTTGGGGAAGACGCACGGGGCTCAAGTTCTCGTGGCAGTCGAGCACTGTAGACACTCTTTTTTCCCCTCCTCCTTTATACCTCCTCTATTCATCTGTCCTTAACAAGTGGCACGCTTTGATTAGTCAAGATGGGGCAGGAACATGCTAGACCTGCTAAGGGCTTGTTGGCTTGCGATATTGTGAAAGAAAGAGCAGGGGAGGATGCAATGATGAAACTTAAAAAGATTGCTAAGGTGTGTGGCTTCCAGATGTTGCCCAGTGGGAGATTGCAGCCAGAGTTTTGGCGAAAGCTACTCATAGACAAGGAAGGTTTACTGTTGGACAACGGACTCACAAAGGTTGCAGAGGCCTGGTATCGTGTAGCTAGAGGTCTGAAACGGGAAGGTTGGGTCGAGGAAGAGTTGGAGTTTGAGGGGCAGATTGTACATGTTTACCATAGGAATGTTCTCAATGATAATGTCACTTCTATTGTTCCACGGCCACCACCCTATGATGGCGCCCAGAGCGCAACAGTAACCTCCCGCCCTGCTTCCCCCGTCACAGCACAGACCCCACCCCCCGGGGATGTATCTCCAGTCCCCACCCCCCTTTGTCCCGTGCTCGGTGTAGATGGAGCTTACTATTTCCCAGTGCCACACCACTCGTTCCCACCCACTCCCATGCACCAACCCCCCTGTGACCAATCCCCCCCTTTCAGCCATCATCCTGTTTTGCCCGTCGGAGCTTCCCCACCTCCATGCCCCCTGTTACCTTTCCCAGGGCCTGTCCTTACTCCGAGTATTCCCCCGACTATTCCCGTCTCAACTATCGATGTCCCATCCTCCTCCTCCTCTCAATCCCTCTCCCCCCTGAGTACCCCGTCGCTGGTAAACCCCGTTCCCTCACCCTCTTCATCCATCCTGCATCCTGCGCCCTCCGCTCCTACCCACTCAACTGACCCCGTCTCCCCGGACCCCCGTCCCCCGGTTGCCTTCCCTTCTCCAGTATCCTCAGGAATCCCCGTGACCCCTACCCCTGTATCCCCATCTTCCCCCATTCCTTCTCATCCCCTTTCCTCCTCCTCCATTTCCAAGGATCCCCCGCCCCTACTCTCCACTCTCATGAATCTTGTCCAGCCCGCTAGTCCCAGTTCCCTTGCCTCCGCCCCCTTACCCACGGATTCCCCTCCCATCTTCAAGGTCCCGCCTACTGCTCCTCCTCCAGTGTTTCCTCCTCCTGAAACCCCGGCCCCCTCTACCTCATTGCCTCCCACTCCCGCGGCCGATTTGCCGTCCCTGATCTCCGCCCTCACCGCCCTAACCCAACTCTATGCCGTCACCCCTCCAGCTCCTCCTCCAGTGTCTCCTCCTCCTGAAACCCCGGCCCCCTCCACCTCATTGCCTCCCACTCCCGCGGCCGATTTGCCGTCCCTGATCTCCGCCCTCACTGCGCTAACCCAACCCCCCGTTGCCACCCTCCCAGCCCCTTCTCCCGTGTCATCTCCCCCCAGTATCCCTGCTCCCCCGACCGTACCACAGCCCCTTGACCCCGTCCCTCTGACCCCTCCCCCCGTGAACTCTGACACACCCACGACCGATGACCTGCCTGGTTCAATATCCGCCCTCTTCACTGCTGTTACTTCCCTGGTTAATTCCGCGATCCCCGTGCCACCTCCCATCGACGTACCTCCTCTTCCTCCTCCCCCTCCCCCTGAGCCTCCAACCCCACCCTTGTCCCCTGCCGATGTCCCCGAGCCCTCCGATCCCATCTCCGCCCTCGCAAATGTCCTCAACACCCACCTTTCACGCCCTACCCAATCGGCCCCCGTGACAACCCCTTCCACAGCCTTGATCCCTCATATCCCTTCCGCTGGCCCTAGTTACCCAATCATGGTGGTTGGATCCGAGGTGTCGGGGACATCTGACCAACCCTATGCGATGGGTGCCTCCCCCCAGGCTTCAGGTTTCCACCCAGCTACCTCACCTGTCACCGCCCTCCCTGTTGTCCCAGCTACAGCTACTCCTGAGACTACTCTCCGTCGTGGCCCAGTGCTGCCCGCCGAGGTAGTTGTGGTTGACCAGAATTCACCACACCTGGGGGTGAATAGGCTACCCCAACAGCAAACTATCCCTCAGGGATATACCCCAATCAACCATGGTGCGGATGGTGCTCCACCTATGTATGTTACCTTTAACCCTTCCCAAGCTGCTACCCTTGTGACCTCACTCCCTGATCCTGAAAAACACCCCATGCCCTTTTTTCGTAGGATGGCTCAGATCCGTAAAACATACTCCGCTGCTTGGCGGGATCTCATTAGTCTATGTGAAATAAAGGCTGGTGATGCATACTGGCCAATCATGGAACGGAGCTTTAATGATGCTCCACTTACTTCTGATACTGACTTTCGTTCTGGTGAAATTTTTTGTGAACAGCTTCGTGCCTGGGCACAGGATAAACTAGCAGATCAGGCTACTTGCATCAATGATATCCTACAGGACAAACTTGAGACAGTTGAAAAGTATCACTCTAGGTTGACTCAGACTTTTTCTGACTTAGGGTTTAGTACTTACAACAAAGCACACACCCAGATGCTATCTGCAGCTTTTGTGGCAGGGCTTAGGGAAAATATTCGTAAGGGTTTAGTTTTAGCCCGACCTGAGTATAGAATTATTCCGCTGGACACTCTCTTGTTGGTAGCCAAAGGCTTAGAGTCTGTTATGCTTCCTACACAGCGTAGAACTAGTCCACTGATGTACGCTACCTCCACCCCAATCGCAGGTCCAACCCAGGGCCCTCAGATGCTCCCCCAACAGTTCACCCAGCCCCCCCCGACACTGCCTGCACCAATTCCTTTCCCCCGTGACCGGACTGTCACGACAATCCGGACCTGCTTTAATTGTAATCAGCCAGGTCACTTTAGGAGAGATTGCCCACACCCTAGAGTGCTCCGCCAACAGACCCTCAGGTACCAAAACCCCCATGTCACCAGCTATAACTTCCCCTCCACTGGTTATCTCCCTGCCCTACCCCATCCACAGCTACCTCAGCTACCTCCTCCTCCTCCCCCTCCCCCGCCTCCTGAGTACTCCCAAGCCCGGCTCCCCGCAGCAGAGGCCCGTGCATACACTTCACCCTCCACTGAAGGGTATGATACTGATGACTTCCAAGACAACCATCCTCATCCCCGCCATGCCCTCCGTCCACCCCGCCCACCCATGCATTCTGTCAACCCTCCCTCCACCTCCCGCCGGTACCAGGGACCAGATCAGGCCCACCTTGATCTATTGCAATAGGTAACTGGCAAGCCTGTGTCAGCAACCCCTGCTATGGCAGTGTCTGCAGGGGATGGGGGAGGACCCTTGGCTACTGTAGTTCTCCCCGTGGAGGGTCACCCAACCACTTTTTTAGTTGACACAGGTGCAGCCCGTAGTGTCCTTAGGGAACAAGACCTGCCAGATCCTTCCTTCCTGTCTGACACTGATGTATCCTGTGTTGGGGTGGATGGTACACCACGCAGTAACCCCCTTACCAAGCTCTTACATGTAGGTTCACACATCCTGTCCCGTTTTGTTGTTTCTTCCACTTGCCCCATTAACCTCCTAGGTGCTGATGTCCTCTCCCGGCTCCAGGCTTCCATAACCTTTACTGCAGATGGACAAGTTGAGTTAACAACCCCCTTATCACAAAAAGATACTTCTGTGCTCTGCTCACTCCCCATCCTGTTGAACCTAACAGACAATACAGGGAATGCACGGGTCACACACACCCCCAGTGCTCTGGATCGTATCCCCCAAGAACTTTGGTCCACCGGCCCGG